TCAATACTGAGAACTGAATCTAGAGTTTTGTATGTGTTAAATAAGCATTCTGTGTATGTATGTGTGTGTGTGTATATATATATATACATATATATGTATATATATATATATATAAGCTATATCATCAGACCTTTAAATTTTCTTATTTTGAGGTCTCATTAAATTGCCCAAGAAGGCATTGAATTTGTGTCCCTTCCTGCCTCAGCCTCCTAAGTAGCCCCAGGTCTGGTTAAGATCAATTCTTTCCTTACAGTTAATTCATACTTGCCTTGACTGGGACTGTCACTGGGATCTCTGGCCTCTTGGTCCACTGTCCTATCAGGCACAACATTTTTCCCAATGTAAGAATTTTTTTTTTAATATATCTTGCTAGATTGTGTCATTTATATTTGTTATAGGTCTTTTTTTTTAGTCTAAAATTTTAATTTTACAGCTTTTTTTCAAGGTTCCCTATATTTATACTTTTTTAGCTCTCAAATATGGATCACCAGTACAAGTCAAGCTGATCACTGTCTCTTACATAAGCCACACATTTTACCTGGTTTAGCTTAAGTCACTCTACAAAGTTTAACAACTCTCAGCCTCAATTCTCAGTAGCATCCCTGAATGCAGGTAACAACACTTAAGGCTACCAAAGTATCTTGACAATCATTAGCTTATGATTCAGAGGCTAGTGGTCTGGCAGTAACAAGAAAATACACACTTTAAGCTAAGCCATTGGGACATGACTATATCTCTGCATTTGAGATAAAAGGCAGGGTAATTGTCAAGTTTGATTCCAGTATGGGCTACAGGGAAAGACCCTGTCTCAAAAGAGCAAATCAAATCAAAACATCAAAACTCTTATGTATGGATGTGTATGTACACACACTCAAACAAAGCACACACACACACTAGTTGCTTTAGGTTGTCCATTAAAATGACCTCTCACATTTATAAACTTTGGGTTAGCACCGTTCTATATAAATATTAATGTTGACTCTTTTTAAGTTTTTTCTTTTATGTTCATCTGTGTGTGTGTGCCATGGTACATGTGGAGAAAAATAAAAATCAGCTCAAAATCAACCCCAAGCCTTAAATCTTAAAACTGGAATCCTTGAAATGATTATAGGAAAATACAGATGCAGGCAACAACTTTCTGGATAGGATTCCAATAGATCATGAAATGATAGTGAGAATTGACAAATGGGATTGCTTAAAGTAAAAAGCTGCATAGCAAAGAAAACAATCATTTGAGTCAAGAGACTCCAATCTCTGTAACTAATCTGACAAGGGAGCTGTTATCCAGAACACATAAAGTGAAACAAACATACATTAAAACAACAAACAGTAAGTAGGCAAATGAACTAAATACAAACTTTTCAAATGGTTAATAAACACAGAGGGAGCTAAAGAGCTGGTTCAGGAGGTAAGAGCATTAAGTCCTTTTACAGAGGACCTCGGTATTCTTGTGGTAGCTCACAATTGTCTGTAACTCCAGTCTCAGAAGTTCTGATGCCCTCTTCTGGCCTTCAAGGATACTGCATGTACATTGTGCATAGACATATGTGCAGGCAATACACTCATGCCCGTAAATACAATAAAATGTTCAAAATATATATGAAAAATGTCGAAAATCTTTAGCTACTAGAGAAGAGAAAATTTCCCCAGTCATAATGGGTATCAAGAAAACAAGAAGCAACAAATGTGGGGAGGGGAGGAAACTTATACATCACTGTTTGGAATGTAAAATAGAGCCACTATGAGAAACAGTATGGAGGTTCCTCAAAAAAACAACAGAATTCCCACATGACCTAGCTATACCACTTCTGGGACAATGCCTAGAAGAATTAGTCATCTTACTACACAGATATTTGCACATCCATTTTCCTTGTGGCATTATTCACTGCCAACACAGCCTAGGTGTCCAACAACAGATGGGTGATTAAAAAATGTAGTATATTTACACATGGAATACTATTCAATTATAAAAAAAAACAAAGTTATGTAATTTACAGGAAAATGGATGAAACTGGAAATCATGTTAAATGAAAATCAGTCTCATAAAGATAAGTATCACATAGTTCCTCTCATGTGGAATGTAGGGGACATGGAAATAAAAGAGGAACTATTGGGAAGGTGGAAGGGGGAACTGGAAAAAGAAATTATAATAGAAGGGGTAAGTATGGTCAAAGTACATTTTAAAGGAATGGAAATGTCACAGGAAAACACAGTAGTTTGTACAGCTAATAAAAATGAAAATAAAAAGTACCATATAAGTCTTTGTACAATCTAACTCACAAATTAAGAGACCATTTTGTCACACCGCTACTGCATTGATAAAGTATGGCAACTACAGTAAGTACAGCCGCTGAAGCAGTGCATGGAAGTAACAGGCCAAATCAAGTAAGAGTCCAGATTTTACTAAAGTGAGCCTTTAGCAAATTTTCTATGTAACCCAGGTTGCCTTCAAACTTGCAATCTTCCTGTCTCAGCCTCCCAAGGGCTAGGATTACAAGCATATTCCATCATGCTTGGACACCCCAATAAATTTTCCTAATGATACACCATAAAATACTGACAAAACTATCAAAGTCTTAATATAATTTCAAAGCCCTATTTAATTCTAATCCTCTAGCAGCACTAGACATTATTATTCTATATTTTCATTAATCTGAAGTTTGATGGGGGGGACATTTCCTTGGTAAAAACATCTCTCAGGCAACTCTAAAAGTTCTTGTACAAAGTGAAGGTTTAGGCACCAGAGATATAAAGTGAGGACATGACCCCTCCAAAGTTGAGGGGAGTTTTTTTTTTTTTTTTTCCCAGATATGAGAGTATAGCCAGAGGCATTTGAAGGAGTGCAGAGCAGGGAGAGAGAATAGTAGGTTAAATATGGCCAGCAGGCTGGACCTAGCCATGAGAGGAGAAAGGGGCAAGGCTGAAACAGCTGGATTATATAGGAAAGAGAAGCTGGGGGCGGGGTGGGTGTGGAGGTGTCCATGAGTTGGAGAAGTTTAGGGGAGTGAGGTGAGAAGAGCCACAGGTAGTTGTGAAATTGAGGAAGTCTGAAGGCCAGCATGTGTTGGTATGCTAATAGGCACCACAATTAGCCATTGGTCCCAAGTTTCTTTTGGACCAGACAGTTGTTAAAAAAAATACCACATCAGCACTGTATTTAGAGAACTATCAAGAGTGTAGCAAAAGATTCAACAGACCCATTGTATCTGCCATGAATTCTGGAGTAATAGCACCTGGTTCTAAAGTAACCTCTTGTAAATAGTGACTGTTATCTGAGTTGCTCTATAGAAGGAATTTCAGAGCCTTTTGCATAACTTAAGTCTCCAGACTTCCTGGCAAACCAGGAAGTTTTGTGTGGTTGAGAATTGCTTAGGAAATGATTCCTTCAAACAATTCCAGATAAAAGGTTTTGGTATTGGGAAACTGATTTGCTAAAGGTGCCTTTTGTGTAACAATAAAGAGGATTTTGTGAAGCCAGGAGGCAGTCAGTTTATCAGAAGTTGACTTTCCTGCTGCTGCAAAGCCATAAAACATGCTGGAGTGACTCTCTTCCTTCGACTGACCTGAATAATACAGAACACCAACATCAGAGAAAGGTTAAGCTTCATGTACCTAACACTTCTTCACTCCCCAATAATACCAGCAACTGAAAGCATTCTGAAGACCACCCAGTAGTTTAACAAAAAATAGACATTGTTTCAGAAATGTCCTTAGTTGTGAGTGTACCTACAACCTTGTTTGTAAAGCCGCGATGAGTTGGAGTCTTTAAAAAGACCACAATTAAGACAACCACTAAATAACATGGTACACTTACACTATGATCTCGACAGTGTTAGTCACAGCTGTTACTGTGCAACACACAGGACACATTGCTACACATACTTTATTTGGAATCGAGTACCGTGAAAACATTTTAAGAAGAGGCCGATATAATATTTTATTGAACTAGGAACTCTGGCACTGAAAGCGTGAACAACCCAAGGTAACGATGTCGTCACCAAGGGACGACCATAGAGCCCAAATCCCTTGACTCCTGGGCTGATGTTTTCCACTAATTGTGCTCCTTTCTACTCATCTGAGAGCTTCAAGTGTAAAGGGCTGGAGAAGGCAGAAGACCTACATGAGCCAAATCTGCGAGGTGGGGATGCTCTGAAGATCCACAGCAACCGCCTTTGACACTTTCTTTTGTTTTGGCTGAGCAAGATGAAAACAGCAACCACAGACCCCAGGGACCAAGAACTGGAACTAGGTACTGACTGTTGTGGTAACTCTCTCTTCCTCGGTCCGGGCCTGTCCTTTCTCACTTCTCCCTCCCGGCCAAGCCTTAACGCGCCCCACTCTCCAGTCCCTCGGTCCCCATCTTCATCCCTTCACCCCCTCTGCACACCATTGTTCGACGCCGCCGTCGGACAGGGACTCCCTCCAGGCTTAGCAGGGGTTCGCGGCGCCTGTGGTAGTCAGCACGAGTCTCAGCTGAGAAACTTGGGTAGGAGTCAGGGAAAGCCCGCCTGCCGGGTGGGTGTTGGGACTCGTCAGGACAAAGCATGATTAGACAATTGAGAGCCTTGCCTCCCTCCCGGGCGGAGGGCCCCGCTGTCTCAGCTTCCCTCGGGCTCCTACGGAGCGCGCGTGTTTACACTTTCTTACACCCAGCGGCGGACTCAGGGGCCATTCTAAACCGTTACTCCGCCTGCTGGGGTGGGACCAGCCCAACGGCTGAGCCTGCGCTCTGGGCCGGCCGGCATCGGCAAGACTACAAGTCCCAGAAGGCCTCGCGCCTCGGGGGCGGGCAGCGGCTCACCTACCCGCCGCGCTTCCCTCCGGTTCCTGTTGCTTTCCAACAGCAATAGGTGTCCTTCATACTGCCGAAGGCTGCCTCCTCCAGGGAGCATTATCAGTCTCGACACCGAAGTCCTCGCGTCCCTACTCTTTTTGCCTCAGTTCTGGCTATGGCTGACTCCCTCACCGGAGCCGGGCGGCAGCGGCGGCGAGGGAGGGAAGCCCATGCAAGCGACCCGAGCGCACTTCCGCCTTTGGGCTCCGGAAGGTAGAGCGCACGCGCTTGATGCGACTCTGGAGCGACTCACTTCCGCTCCCACTGTGCCCTGCGAGCCGAATCATGGATCACACTGGTAAGGAGGCGGAGGCAGCGGGGGTCCTGGTTTCGTGCCCCCTTGGTTCGTGTGGGACTGGTCTCCCAGCTGGCACAAGGGGCTACTCTTGCCCCACTGCGCCGGGACGTGGCGGAGAGGAAGCAAGCTTACAGACCCGGTCCCGGGCTGGGCCTCCTGCTCCCCGGCCTACCTTTCGGAGCGGTGCCTCCATCCTCGAGACCGGCAGCACTGCTTCTGCGGTGCTGCTGAGCTCGCTTTGCGGACACTGCTCCGCGCAGGCTTGTTGGAAACGGGATGGTGCCAGTTCTTTCTTTCTTTCTTTCTTTTTTTTTTCTCTTCTCATTCCGGTTGCTCTGCACTTTGTGCTGAGGAAATTAGCGGGTGGATCCCACTTTCGGAATTGGAGAAGCGTCCGGACCCATAGAGAGAGTGGGTTGGAGACTTCCTGCTGCCTCTCAGCTTCGGGTAGCTGCTGCAGTGGTCACCCTCTGTGGTTATTGTCTCTTTGGGTTTTCACGAACTAGAGGCTAGAGAAAAGAGTCGGGTATAGTTTTCGAAGTTTTAAGCGGAGCATCTTTTCTAAACCCAAAGCATGCCCCGCCCTTCGGCCTTGCCCTTTCGCATCTTTTGGGGAAATAAAAAAAAAAAAATTTAACATCAAGACATTTCCATCGCATATTCCAAGAAATAGTGGCTTCAAAGTTTTTTTCTGCGGGCTTCGATTTCTTGTTCTTAGTTATTGAATGAGTGCACTTGGCTTTGAGTGCTTCCGACAAGCAGGAGGAAAAGGCTTTTTCTTGTAAGAGTTGACAGAGATGCCCTCAGCCCTCAAATAACTACTTGATTATATAATTGCCTGCAGATACTCGTAGGCTTGGAGATAGAATGATGAGCTGGTAAACAATAGGACTGCGTCCTTGCCTTCGAGTTTACATTCTATCAAAAGGGGCAGGCAGGTTAGTTTCTTTTTAAAAAAAAACAAAAAAAAAAACCGCTTACAAATTGTGGTGAGTACTTTAAGAAAATAGGTGCTTATGGAGTAGAAATTTCAGAGAGTGCCAGGGAAAGGTGTTTTGAAATGGTAAAAGATGTAGAGAAGGCCAAATATCTGTGATCTAGTTAGCAAGAGGGAGAGCCCTCAGTTGAGAAGGGAAGGAAAACACAAGTTATCTTGTTTGTGAATTTGAGAATCATGGTAAAGGGTTGTTGAATTTTAAGTGGTTACGAAGCAATTGAATAAAACTAGGAGCATAATATTTTAAAAATGATCCCAGCTCTTCTATGGAGAGTGGTGTAGGAGAGGAAGAAGAACAGGAATAAATAAATAGTTTAGGCAATGGTTGCAGTGGCCCAGGGGGAGGCTCAGTTTAGTGAAAGGGTAGCTCAGTGGTAGAACACCTACCTCGCTAGTACAGGTCCCTAGTTCAATCCCCAGCAAGGCTGCGGAGGGAAAACTGGAGGCAGAGCACAGACAATGGGCAATTTCAAATATTTTGGTGGAGAGTCCAACAGCTGCTAATGGATTGGTTTGTGGAAGTATGTGAGAAAAATGAGAAAAACTGAGTTTCTCATTAGAGCATCTTGGTACTGCATATATAAAATATCTCAGTTTCTAAGTTATTAATGAAAGGTTGCCTGGGGAGATAGAAATCATTCTAACAGAAAAAAAAATCACTAGTTATAAGCTAGCTAGATTTTTTTTTAAAAAAAATTTCTGCTTAAATCAGCAGTTTTAAATTACTTATGAGACAGTCATCTTAATGTCTTAGTGTTGATTGCTGCACATTTTGAGGGAAAAAAATCAAACAAAGCAAAAGACTCAAACTTTCACAAGACTCATAAATACAAATTTGAAAACTATTTGAATCACAGAGCCTTTGGCAAATCCAGAAATGCCAGTTAGCTAGTTATTTGATGATTTCCTGACTGAATAGACTTCTCAGAATAATAATTTTTTAATTTTTAAAAATTTGTATATGCATTGGTATTTGACCTGCATGTCTTTGTGAGGAAGTTGGATCCACTGGAACTTGAGTTACAGGCCCTTGTGAGCTGCCATGTAGGTGCTGGGAATCGAACCCAGGTCCTCTGGAAGAGCAGCCAGTATATTGTTTTGAAACTATTACCACATTTAAAGTTAGATTCACATCAAATGGCCAATTAACCGCTGAGCCATCTCTCCAGCCCAGAATAATGATTTTAATGTCAAAGGATCAAGAGGTCTTGTAAATGGAAGTATTGAAATAGAATTTTGTCAGGAAAAAAAAAACAACTCTATAAATCAATCTCCCTCCCTCCCTCCCTCCCTCCCTCCCTCTCTCTCTCCCTCTCTCCCTCCCTCTCTCTCTCCTCCTTCCTCCCCCTCTTTTTCCCTGCAAACAAGTATTGCTTTATTTAGTGTTTCTCTGGATTGCAGAAGTGTCAGCACTGGGCTGAGAGCACAGAGGAAGCCAGGCAAACCCAAGGCCCTCAGGGGAGGATGAAAGCAGAGAAAGGTGATGCCCCTGAAACTCCTCCAAGGGCTGCCCTGTCCACATGATTCCAGGTCACAGAAGTGCTCAGGTCAATAAGACCCTACCTACACTTGATTCATTCTTTGGTCATTATGAGAGTTAGTTAGCACTTAGGTAAAAGTAACACAAATTTTGTAAAATGCTGTTTCATTCTTTTTTGGGAGGTGTTTGCTGGTGACCTGAACTCAGGATCTTCAGTATCTCAGACAGTTTCTACCACTAATACCTTGGCTCTTTTTTTAAAATCTTTTCCCTTTTTTTTTTCTTTTTTCTTATGTACATTGGTGTTTTGCCTGCACGGATGTCTGTGTGAGAGTATCAGATTTCCTGGAATTAGAGTTACAGACAGTTGTAAGCTGCCATGCTGGGTGCTGGGAATCGAACCTAGGTCCTCTGGAAGAGCAGCCAGTGTATTGTTTTTGAAACTATATAATGAAGTGTTACCACATTTAAAGGTAGATTCACATTAAATGGCCAGTTATTCTTTTTATCCCTTATGTAATATCCAGACATTTCTTTTTTTTTTTTTTTAAAGATTTATTTATTTATTATGTATACAACATTCTGCCTCCATGTAATCTTGCACACCAGAAGAGGGCATCAGATCTCATTACAGATGGCTGTGAGCCACCATGTGGGTGCCGGGAATTGAACTCAGGACCTCTAGAAGAGCAGAGATGGCTCTTAACCTCTGAGCCATCTCTCCAGCCCCAGACATTTCTTTATTATTGTGTGTTGTTGTTTTGATACTATATATATTCAACAATGTGTATGTTACGTTTTTATTTTTAAAAAAGCCCCAGAATGTTGTCACTTGAAATCTTTGAAGCAAACAGTAGCTTTAAGAAACAGCAGGCTCTACAAAGAGAGTTCCAGGACAGCCAGGGCTACACAGAGAAACCTTGTCTCAAAAAACAAAAACAAAAGAAAGCAGACTCTGGACTTTAGTCTCTTTAGAGATGGCTCAGCAGTTAAGAGCACTGGCTGCTCTTCCACAAGACCCAGGTTCAGTTCCCAGGACCCAGATAGCAGCTCCTAACTGCCTCTAGTTTCAAGGGGATCAGACACCTTCACACAGACATACATGCAGGCAAAACACAAATGCACATGAAATAAAAATTATATATAAACAGCAGGCTCTTGAAAGGGCTAGGCTGGCTGTTCAAATAATGGAGAACTCAGTTGTGTGAGGTAGTTGAAAGATGCAGATAAAGTGTTCTATTTTCATTCACTAAGGTAGCATCACTAAGATATCCGAAGGGCAACAACTTAGTTTTCATGCAAGGGAAAAGGGTCATCTGTCATATCTCTACAGCTGGTAGGTACTTCTATATGAATGAGCAAATGCAGTGAAGACTGCTGAAATACATAAACAGACATTCCATTTTAGTGCAGTCTTGAAGATTGATCAAATTGGGTTTATTTTATTCAAGATTGTAGCTATTCATGTAATCCCCTTTCCATGAAAAATTTTAAGAGGAGTTCCCTGTTACAAGAGTAGAAAGTAGACAGATGTTTAATCATTGAAACCCATTTTGAATTACATTTGGCTTTACCAAATTTAATGTGGACGGTTTGGCTGTAAGTTTTGATTGTAATTCTTGCAGGAATTCTGTTCATTTATTGTGTTATAGTACAGTTTTAAAGTTACATTTGCATTTCCTATTTTTAAGTATTTCCCTTTTTGTCTTAAGGTAAAATTGAATATCTTGTGTTACATATCTTTATGTACTTGAAAAAGTAAAGTTTTATATGAGTCAGTCCGTGAAATAATATACATATTATTCATGGACAAGAATTCTTTTTTATTCCATAGATTATAAGATTTTTAAAGACCAGAAAGTTTCAGTTGTCGAGACCTAAGTCTAAATACAGTTTTCCATCGCAGTGTTGACTTCTTAACTAAGGATATCAGTTACCCATGTCTCTAGAAATGTTACAACACAAGTAATGCAATATGTGTTCTATTAAGTGGTATAATTTTGTAGATTTCTTGAATACTTTTTATAAAAAAAAATGTTATGCTTAAAGGAATAATTACCTGTTTAAAACCAACGCATAGACCAGCAAGATGACTTAGCAGGTAAAGAAAGACCTGCGAAGGACTGGAATTCAGCATCTGGGCTTCATATGGTAGGAAGGGAGAACCAACTCCCACAGTTGTCTTCTGACCTGCACACATCCACTGTGGCTCCAACTGCACTCACAGGCACATGCCCATGTGCACACACACCAAAATTAAAACAATTTTCAAATACATATCAGATATCAGATTGAATATTGGATTTCTAATTTTATTATTTGTCTTTATTACTAAGTTTACTGAGTGGCCACTTTGCATGTTTAATTATTGGACACATATTTTGTTTTTTCTCCTTTATAATTAAAAAAATCTATTAAAATTTGTGTCAGAGGTTTCTTTCCTTGCATTTTTATTTTATTTATTGTATGTACATTTGTATGAGTGTGTCAGATACCCTAAAACTGGAGTTTCAGCAGTTATGAGCTGCTATGTGGGTGCTAGGAATTGAATCCGGGTCCTCTGGAAGAACAGCTAGTACTCTTAACTGCTGAACCATCTCTCCAGCTCCTTCATGCATATTTTGTTTCTGTAAACTACTATGGAATTATATGGGAATTTTTATTGTTCAAAGTTCTAGAAAGTGATAAAGATTCTTTAACTTTTATCAACTTTTGAAAGGGTTCCATGTCTCAAAAAAGGGTAACCAAAATCATTGCTTTAAAGGTTTATCTTAAATGAAGAACATTAGCAGAGTTACACTTAGGTCAGTCTGGTATTTAAAATCATAACCAAGATCTTTAATTTATTGTTTGATGTTGATTTATCTTTATACTTGTAGAACACTTTTCAAGAAGAAAAGTAAAAGAAATTACAACTTCTTTTTTTCCATTCATATAGACAATGAGTTACAAGGCACTAATAGTTCTGGATCCTTGGGTGGTCTTGATGTTCGCAGAAGAATTCCTATAAAACTCATCTCCAAACAAGCCAACAAAGTTAAACCTGCACCTCGAACTCAAAGGAATATTAGCAGGATGCCTGCAAAGGCCCCACCAGGTGATGAAGGTAACTTGTTTAAACCAAGACGTTTTTTAACAGTTGTGTTGTTTTATCTGAGTGCACCAATTAATCTATTTGATTTTATTTACTTAAACCTATTTTAAAGTTTTAACCTTACACATTCTTTATTTAAACTTTTTTTCTCCCTTTATAAGCCCCCTTATGACCTTTCCAAAGAATCTAATCAATATTGCAGAGAGCATTACATTAAAAGTAAAATTTGTTTGTACAGCCCTCTCCAAAGCTAATGTCTATTAAGATTTTTTTTTAAGTAAAATGGGTAGTGATGGCCCATGCCTTTAATCCCAGCACTTAGGAAGCAGAGGCAGGCAGATCTCTGAGTTTGAGGTACACAGTGAGTTCCAGGAAAGCCAGGGCTACACAGAATCTTTGTCTAGAATAAACAAAAATAAAAAGGGGTTTGGGGAGTGGTGCATAGTTTAGTCAGGTGTGGTGACTCATGCTAGCAATCCCAGCACGGAAGAAGCTGAGGCAAGAGGATTGTAGTTTGATGCCAGACCCTGTCTCAAACAAATGAATAGTCTCAGGTGTTTTAACTTTTTTCTAGTTATTTGTTTGACTGTAACTGTTGTAGTATGAACATTAAAAACTTAACTTGGGGAATGGCAAGATTAGTGAGTAAGGGCAATTGCCACATAAGCCTGGTGACTTATGTCCATCCCTAGAACTAATATAAAAGAGGAAGGTGAGAACTGATGTCCAGAAGTTGTTTTCTGACTTTCACTGGCACACTGTGCAAACCTATGCCCCCATATCATGTCCACAACAAATAAAAAAAAATTTAAAGACTTGACTTGTACATTTTAGAATTTATCAGATCTTGCTAAATTACTCTTCAGAAAGGATTTGTTGGTTTATACTCACAGACATCAATATTTCTTATTATTGACAAACATTTTTTTGGGGCAGGGCCTTTGTCCTTGAACTTGAGCAGTTTTACTGCCTCAGCCTTCTGAGTGCTGTTATCACAGGCAAGAGCCACTGTGCCCATGACAGAAACTTAAGTGTAAGGATGCCTTTTTGCAGTATTAGCCATTTCTTGTCTGAGTTCCGTCATCTGGTTTGATTGGTGCCTTTCTCTTAGCTTTTGAGTTCTTTGTAAAAGTGGCAATGTTAAATGTCTATAGTTCATTTATCTTTTGAATTTTATATATAAAATATTACTGTAAATAACTTGAACATTCTAAGTAGTCAGTTGAGTTTGCTCTTTCACTTTCCTGTCTTCTCATTTATTAGAAGTCAGCAAACTGGCCTATGAGTCAAATTTGATTCCTTTAAAAAAAAAAAGTAAAGTTACCATTCAGTTGAGTATTAATAGCCTATGGCTGCTTTCCCATTATCATGGCAAAATAGAGTAGCTATAGCAACAGTTTATTGACCCATGTTTTAGAATATTTATGGATTTTTTTTAATGAAGTCTTGCTTTTTTAATTTTTATCCAAAACAGTTCACTAGCTCCCCAAATACTGGGTAATCTGTTTTTCCTTCCAGAATGGAAATCTTGTTGTTAGCATGCATTCAAGTTCTAGGAAGACTTGTCTTACTCCTAAATTCTGTTCTTTTCAGAACCAAACTGCTTTCATTGTACTTTATAACATATCTTTACTGTATACTAAAGTAGTAGAGTTGAAGTTAAAATGTTATAAATTGCAGTAGTGAGTTGGGATATGTTCAGCTGAGCAAAGGCCGAGTACAGGAGTTGACGTGGCTGCTGCACTAGTGTAATCTAGGCTTCCCCACCCATGTTGGCCTTTTGTAAATTATTTTTTAACTACATACAATATACTCTTATGATCAAAGTGCAAAAAAAAAAAAAGGCCAAATTCTCCTTTCTACACTTCTTCCTGTAGGCGGAGATTTTTGTTGGGACTGTTGGCTCCCAAATAACCACTCAGAGACTTATTATTAATTATAAACGCTCAGCCGATAGCTCAGGCTTATTATAACTAGCTCTTACAACTTAAATTAACCCATTTCTGTTAATCTACGTGCCGTTCCAAGGCTCGTGGCTTTTACCTCCTGCATGTCCTGCTTCCTTTCTGCCTGGCTGGCAACTCCCTGACTCTGCCTTCCTTCCCAGCAATCTCTCTGCCCCCACATCCTGCCTAGCTGTCAGCCAATAGCTCTTTATTAACAGTGAGAGCAACACATATTTACTGTGTACAAAGATTGTTCCACAGCATTTTCCTCTAGGCATCTCACCCACATCCCAAAGCCATACAGCCCCTTTTATAGGGAACTACTATTGCTCTCATAAAAGAGCAAACTGAAAAGATAATTTTTGAATTTTGAATTTAAAAAATACTCTCTTATTCTAAAATTGATCAAAATGGAGTTTCAGATACAGGTATGATAACTGTAAATACATGCTTAATGATAAGAGAACAGCTTGTTCCACTCTGAAAAGTAGTCATGTGTGCTACGTTTCCTTAGACTGCTGACCTCAATAATTTCTGGGTTTGACATGTTGATTTTCCTTAGCTTGAATTTTAATGACCCCAGTTTTATGAAGTTTAAATGTGTCATATGAGAGCTTAGGGGCACTCAGTTATCACTGATAAGAACTTCATGACTTTGAACTGTATAGTTTTGTTGGGATTAATTAAAAAGTGTAGTGCAGCTGGGTAATGGTGGCACATGCCTTTAATCCCAGCACTCTGGAAGCAGAGGCAGGTGGATCTCTGTGAGTTCCAGGACAGCCAGGGCTACACAGGGAAATCTTGTCTTGGAAGTAAAAATAGTGCTATGTCAGCCTTAAAAACTGGCTTGACTTTCTGTGTGTGGATCTATGTGTACACACTAGTAGCTGTGCACAAAATATGTGTGCTTTGGCCACTCTGTTTACCAGTTCTAGAGCCAAAAAGAGTCATGAGAACCTTGGCACCTTAGAGAGATACTTTTATCTTTTTGTTTTTGTTTGTTTGTTTTATGAGACAGGATTTCTCTGTGTAACCATGGCTTGCCTGGAACTTGCTCTGTAGACCAGGCCAGCCTCGAATTCAGAGATGTACCTGCCTCTGCCTCCCAAGTGCTAGGATTAAAGGTGTGTGCCACCACTGCCCAGTGGTATTTTTGTCTTCTTAGCTTTACTTAGATAATTGGATGGTACTGGACTTCCCATTAGACTGTTCATTGGTTTATGTTATTTTGCTTGAGAGGCTTGCCATCAACTTTTTAATTAGACTAGAGATATCCAGACCATTTGATCTTCCTAGTGTCCTGTTACATGATATATATGCTCCAAAGGAACAGATACTGGTATTTTACTCCTGCGGTTTGGGTTGTTGACTAGGGAGAGGCTTTAGCTAAAAGGATCAAGTGTATTCATCTGTTATTTCTGAAACCATTCTCACTTTGAGCCGGAGGTCATAAAAAGGCTGCAGAATTCATTATGTCCTTTGGCAATCAAATCAGTCTCTTGTAGCCTGATACCACTTTTGTAGGTGGTTTAGAATAGATGATGATACTATCTTTAAAATTTGTGCAGTAAACATGATGGTGGTAATTGGTGAGGTTTTATAATACAGACAGTGTTGGGAGTTGATTAGAGCATTGAATAAGAGACTCTTACAAGTCTGTTCTTGGCCCTGCCACTAAGCTTATATGGTGGTTTCCATATCCAGTGTATATTGTCCTCTGTAAAATACTAGAGATGGACTAGATGATCAACAGGATCAGCTGGCATTTTAAACTAGTTTTGATTTTTATGTTCTTAGATCATCAGAAACATTTTTCAGTAAATAGGTCTATTTTGTCATGTAAATATACTTTAAAAATGAAATTTGAAGTTGGAAAAATGTAACATAATTTTTTTCTCTCAGAAGGATTTGATTACAATGAAGAACAGCGGTATGACTGTAAGGGAGGCGAACTCTTTGGAAATCAGCGAAGATTTCCAGGACACCTTTTTTGGGATTTTAAGGTATAACTAAAAATGAAAAATTAAGCATTAAGTACTAGTATGAATTTTTAGTGTGTCTGTAACTTTTAGCACACATAAGGCCACTTGCTTGTTTCTACATCTCCAAAAATAATTTAAGGTAATTTTCAGTAAACCAAGTAAAATCAACAGCCACTATTTAAGAAGGAAAATAAGCAGAGTTACACTAAGCAGCTTTTATTTCTGTTTGTAGTAACAACTGTTATAAAATTCTAACCATTTCACTGTGTGAATTGATGAATTACAATTTTCAGAATTGCTTTAAGAGGAAATTTTAATTATCATTTTAACAGATAAACATCTTAGGTGAAAAGGATGATACGCCAGTTCATTTCTGTGACAAATGTGGATTGCCTATTAAAGTCTATGGAAGAATGGTAAGTACAAATAAAGTATAGCTTACTATTTTTTATAACTAATTTTAAAACATAATATGTACAAAAAGGCTAAGAGAAGTTTTATAACACAGTGAATTTAATGTAGTTATTCTTTACTTTTTTTGGATAGTTTCAGGAGAAACACTGTAAGATAAAATACATTTAGTGTTCTTTCTCAGGAGCTTTTAACTTGCAGGGACTCTAGTCAACATCGATAGGTTCACATATCTATCTGAAAATAGAAGCAGGTGCCAGGCAAGAGGAGTAATCCTAGCACTCTGAAGGTTGAGGCAGAAGGATCATAAGATCAAGGCCTGCCTCAGATACATCAGAGTTTAAGGCCAACCTGAGGTACACATGAAATCCTATCTCTAGAAATACAGAGTAAAGCATTAACAGATACACACATATTTACTTATTGGGAAAAGAGCTAAAGTTTTTAAAACATTTTCAAAAAACTTGTTATTAACCCAGGCATTGGTACACATCTTTAATCCCAGCACCCAGGAGGCAGAGGCAGGCAGATCTGTAGCTGGAGAGTTTCTCTCCAGCTCCCACCAAGCTCCACCAGTCCCAGAGCCCACTTATAAAATAAACACACCAACTCTTACATTATTTAAACTGCTTGGCCATTAGCTCAGGCCTACCATTGTCTAGCTCTTACTCTTATACTAAGCCCATTTTTGTTAATCTATATGTCGCTATGTGCTCCCTGGAACCCCCCCCCCTCCTGTCCTTTTCCTTTCTCCTCTTTGCTAGTCCTGCCTATACTTCCTGCCTGGCTACTGGCCAATCAGTGTTTTATTTATCAAACAATCATCCACGTCACAGATCTCTGAGTTTGAGGCTAGCCTGGTCTACAGAGTGAGTTCCAGGACAGCCATGGCTACACGGAGAAACTTTGCCAAAAAAAAAAAAAATCTAAATTAATTGTTAACTGCTACTGGTATATAATCATAAGTCCTCATTTAAATATTTCCTGTGTGCCTTCTATCTGTAGATGATGGTACTATTATTGAAATATTCTAAGTTGTTCTAGGATGCCTAACTATGGTATTTTCATCTACAGATTCCATGCAAGCATGTCTTTTGCTATGACTGTGCTATTTTACATGAAAAAAAAGGAGATAAGATGTGCCCAGGGTAAGATATGGTTGTCTTTAAATTACCTAATAGTAGTGGTGGTTTAAAGGTTATGGAGTGATGGAAATAGACAAGGATGCAGATGTGCGGGCTGAGTTGGTTTTAGCCTTCTCTGCAAGATGGAGCTAACCATTGTTTGTTATTCAGAGTAGCTAAAATGATGAAATCTCTTTGGCACCATAGGAATGGTGTTGGAAACTAGAACCATTGTTTTTGTTTGTTTGAATGGGACATGGAAGCAAGTATAGTATGGTTGGTGATTGAGAACAGTCTCTTTCCAAAATCAGAATTAACATTTTTTTAAATTGCTAATTGTATGTGAGTAATGTGTGGAGGTATAAGCATGTGTAAGGGTCAGAAGGCAACTTTGTGGAGTCAATTCCCTGCTTCCAACTTTACATATGTTCTGGGGATAGAACTTGGATTAGCAGGCTTGCTTAGCAAAGCACTCTACCTGCTGAGCTATCTCACTGGCCCCAGGATTAGAATGCTTGAGTCCTGTGTTGCTATTTATTAGCTATATGATGTAAGCTGGGTTTTATGTCTATAAGCTCCCTGGTTGGGTTATTTTTAAGATTAAGAGGATGAATGGATAGATAGATGGAACAGTAGAATCTGGCATATAATAAACACTATGCCTATATAAGTTCTTACTATATACAAAACAAATATGTCTTGAATGATATGACATTATGATAGACTTGAAGTTAGGCAGCACAATGTCTATTTGGGGATGGCTCTAGAAAATGGAATTTATATTAATTTAGAACCTCTGATAAGGAAGCCTTGAGAAAAATGGAGTGAAACTTCCTTGGGTTAACTTGAAGCATCCCAGTTTTTCTCTAAACCCATACTTGAAAGTACCCCAAGCAGTAGTAATTGCTAATGAAGGTATAAGGAAAGATTTCCCCATTATGGTGTAGGAAATGGATGTTGCTAGGATATAAAGGGATGATTTGTTAGACCCAATGACAACTGATTTTCTTGGCATATTTCATTGGATTTTTAAAGTTACAGATTATAAAATATATGCTGTGTTAAAAGGAATGGTTCTATAGAATTCTAATTCTAATTGGAAGTTTGTATTATAGCCTTTGTTGGTTGTTTTCTCTAATGCCTACTTCCCAACCCAGTGTATATTCATTTTAAAATTAGGTAGCAAATATGCTTGAAAATGTGATGAAACATTACATGTAGTGAACATTAAAAGATTTTCTCTTTTACATAGATGTTCTAATATTAATATTTAAAAGCAAAATTTAGTTTTTAAATAACTAAATGTGTTCCAGTATGCACCTCACCTATGTAATCCTCAGCTGTTTAGAGAGAAACCTGTTCAGACCCAGTTCAGGAAATAAAGTTAGCAACCAGAATTAGTATAAATAGTATATACTACTGCTTTTAAGCATCATTCAAAAGACAAGAAGACTTCAACCTATTTAACATGGAGATGTTTCTGAGTGTATAGTGAATTAGATGGCGGAAAAGCAAGGAATACACACAATGGCCACAAATGAGTGGCACACTAGCATCAAGAGCACTAGCCCTACAGTGAGGGTGGGCAAAGAGACAACTGAACTTTGAATTCCGTAGTTGTGAGTGACAGATCCCTTACCATTCTTGAATACAGATCATAGTATAGTTAGAAAATTAATGAGTTCTAAGTTTGGGAAAATAGGTCTTTAAGTCATTCTCTTTGGTGGTACAATTCAGAGTTTTGAGGTAAAAAATATTCTCAGGTTGGTAGAAATGCAAATGATTAATGTGTGAGGCAAATAGGGAAGATTAAAGGTTCATAGTAATTAAATATTTTTTTAACTTTTGCAAATGTGTAACATTTTTAAAGTAAGCAAAACGTTTAAAATAAATGTGCTCTTTTGTATCTGTTTTTAGTTAATCAACTTTTTCCCCTTTCTGTTCAGCTGTAGTGATCCTGTGCAGCGGATTGAGCAGTGTACACGAGGCTCTCTCTTCATGTGTAGCATTGTTCAAGGTTGCAAGAGAACATATCTGTCTCAGAGAGACTTACAAGCTCATATCAACCATCGCCATATGAGAGCTGGAAAGCCAGTTACCCGTGCTTCACTTGAGAATGTTCATCCTCCTATTGCCCCACCACCAGCTGAAATCCCTGATCGTTTCATAATGCCACCAGACAAGCATCATCTGAGCCATATTCCTCCAAAGCAGCACATCATGATGCCACCACCTCCTTTGCAGCATGTGCCACATGAGCACTATAATCAGCCACATGAGGATATTCGTGCTCCTCCAGCAGAATTGTCTATGGCTCCACCTCCACCTCGTTCAGTCAGTCAGGAAACCTTTCGTATTTCAACAAGAAAACACAGCAATTTAATAACTGTCCCTATTCAGGATGACTCAAGTTCAGGTGCTAGAGAACCACCACCTCCTGCCCCAGCACCTGCTCACCATCATCCTGAATATCAGGGCCAACCAGTGGTATCGCACCCTCATCATATTATGCCTCCACAGCAACATTATGCACCTCCCCCACCTCCTCCACCACCAATAAGCCATCCAATGCCACATCCTCCCCAGGCTGCAGGTACTCCTCACTTGGTATATAGCCAAGCTCCACCTCCACCAATGACCTCTGCTCCACCACCAATAACCCCTCCCCCTGGACATATTATTGCCCAGATGCCACCTTATATGAATCATCCTCCTCCAGGACCCCCCCCACCTCAGCATGGTGGTCCACCTGTAACTGCACCCCCTCCTCACCATTACAATCCTAACTCTTTACCCCAGTTTACTGAAGATCAAGGAACTCTGAGCCCTCCATTTACACAACCAGGAGGAATGAGTCCTGGTATATGGCCTGCACCAAGAGGGCCGCCACCACCTCCACGAATGCAGGGCCCGCCTTCTCAAACCCCACTACCTGGACCACATCATCCAGATCAAACAAGATACAGACCATATTACCAGTGATAATAGTGCTTTGAACTGAAGATATGACAAGGAAAAAGATTAAATTAGTCAATCTTTTAATTTAGCTTTGACTGTTGGGGGAAGGAAAAATACCTCTTTTGAAATGGCTATAAAACACAGTCTTATCCCTTAAAATGGTTTTAAATCTTGACCTTAGGATTGCTTTCAAATACTATACTGTAGTGCAGATAAGTGGCTCAGGGGAGCACACATGTATCTTAGCAGCTGTTACTTTGGTGTGGTAAATTGACCCAGAAATGACCATTTGTATAAAATTTAAAAATTTTTCACTGTTCCATTTTCAAAAATACTGCTTTTATTAAACCCAATGTTTAGTTTTTCTTGTGATGCATTTTGTTAACCTATATAAAAGGATTAAATTTCAAGATGGTTGTAAAAATGCTGTTTTTATGTGAATTTAAGTACAACCACATAATTTTTTTTTTTTAAACCATGTTTTACCACTAATTTTCCAAAGTTAAAGTCCTAAAAGTAAAAATCTAGAATTGTTACCAGGCAGACTGTTACAAGATAGGGAATTACTTCACATTTTAGGCACTGAAATTTCAAGGGGTAGTAATTATGTACTTGGATTCATTTTTGTCTTTGGACTGCCTCAGGAGTGCCAGAATACATCAGAATTCCTGTAATGGTGTAGTTTGACATGCCCCGGGGCATTCTAATCATTTGGAAAATGACTGGCTTTACAGGCTCTAAGCTGTGGATGAGATACTGTCCTCATTGATGCTTTTTTCCTGAGTGGTTAGAATCACATGATCCATCACACTCTTAAATTATATCACTTTATAGGATTGCTGGAATGGTGTTATTTGGATGAGATGTGTTCTATGTTCACTGTCTTTACCTACATATTTAGGGCTGACTAGGCTTTATTTAAATCTGCATTTCTTCATAGTAGTTTGATTCTGTGTTTTAGTGTGTTCTTGTTTATGGGGTTATAAACTGCAACTTGAGTGCTGTGGAGGAATTTGACTGATGTATTAGCAAAGGGTGTTTCTTATAAAACCACAACCTACTCAGGTTTCATTGCTGTGGTGAGTTTTTCCTCTAAGTTGAAATTTTAAAACTTATTATTTTTTCTTCCTCCTCCTCCTCCTTTTGTAAAACATTCTAACATTGTAGCACAGACTCAATAGTGAGGACAACCAGATAATTTTGAATTGGACAGAAGAAAAGTAATAATTAGATTGTGAGTTTCAGTGCCATGTAAGGTGCCTTTGGAGTCAGTGTTTGCATTATAGGGGCTTGTTAGAATCCACTGAAGATAACCACTCAGTTTATACAGCTTTCCTATGTATAAGTCAGCATTCTTAGGATATTATTATATATCCTTTGAATTGACTAAACCCTTATGAAGCTTTTCTTTCCTCCTTAAAATGGTGCATAATATAAACATGGTGTGTAGTATGCAGATAACATTTATTAGATAGTGTGTAGTATATAAATTTAGAACATTGGTTTTTGACAAAGTACTGATTGGTAATTCACCCTTTTATTCTGTCAGGTACAGGAACATTCTCATGTTGGACGATCAGATCCAAAATCATTTCTGAACTTAGCACAGAAGTAAATAATATAAATGGCCATTTCAGCCTTGGCTGGCCAAAAATAACTAATGCAGCTTTTATTGAACAAGTGATTTTTTCCCCCACGTATAGCAGTGAGACTCTGGTTTGCTCATGCACTATTTCTACTGAGAAATTTTTGTTATTATAAGCATGGGAGTGAAATAGTGTGACATGGTGGTGAGTGTTTCTATTATATTACTGTAGGTACTTGGATTGGTGCAAACTTGATTCCTTTTCATATCCCTGTTTAGGAGCTATTTAAATATTAACTGTTACAATCCAAATAACTCTTTGTTTCATGTAATTAGAAAATAGCCAGATTCATGTAAGAGCTTCTTAACTGTTTATGAGAAGCTCTTGTATTGAGATTTACTGAGGTTGGATGTGGTAAGAAACCACCTAGCCTGTATTTTGGACCAAAAAAATCAATATCATGAAAAAAATCCCACATTATGAGAATTCTTGTAGGTTTAAATGACAATTTTAGTTATGTTAATAAGTGTTATACTGGGAGGCAGGTCAGATGAGTGACTTGTAATAGACAGAATTTTAAGTGTTGGACTTGAATTCATCAGCTGATTGTTTGAATGAGGGTGGGTGGGTAGACAATTAACAGGATTAAAAGTTGTGAATCCCAGTGCATTTCAGGGAAGCCTTTGAAGCTATCTATGACGGACATAAGTCTAAATGTATGTATGTTTCATTAATTGCTCTTAAGACTACTGAGGTGGCAGTTCAATTCTTAAAAACAATAAAATGGAAGCATAAATACTGTTTTGCTGAGATGAGTTTTTAACCTAATGGTGACATGTTTGGGAGATTGCAGAACTTTCCGCAGCGCCACAGTAAAATTAGATTCATTTTTTAAATGCTTATAACCAAAGTTGGCTGGTGTATTTCTTTGGCATATTCGTTCAGAGTTTGTGAGTACTTTCAATATTTGGAGAAAGATCTATTTCTGAGATTGTAAAGAGCTGTTCTCCTTTTCCCTATAAGAGCTGCTTGCTCAAAATTGTGTAAATACTAGTCAGATATAATAGAAATATAAATAGAAAAGATTGGAGTGTTTTTATAATTTTTAAGTAGTAGCTGTTTACTGTGTGAGGCACACAGAACTGCTTAAAGAGTGTCATACAGGTTTTAGAAAAAGACCTACTTTTCTGTTTCAGATAATTTAACATCAAAGTATGTGATAATTATAAGTACCTAAAACAAACGTTTCTCAGATTGGCCATCAAATTATCAGATTGATATTAAAGAAGTTTAACACAGTCATATTCAAATGTACTCTATTCTGATTGAAATTAATTTATTTTTATTCATTGGTTTATGATGTTAAAGTCTGACCTAGGAACCAAGCAGAATTTGCTTATTAGAATAGTTGTACAATATAATAAAGCAATGCTGGCTATAGTAAGCTTAGAGAGGAGTGCTGGATAAGCTAGGCAACTATTCTGAAGTACCCCTAATAAAAACTGACTTGGTTTTTTAAAACTCCTTCAGTTTTCCATCATTGAAGAGAGCTCTTGATGGAGAATGCGAAACGTACATAGTAATTCTCAAGTATCACTGTCTCATACTCTTAATTTTCAGGCATCAAAATGACAGGATCGCAACAAACAGGTCACGGTTGAGTTCTCACACATGGGCAGAACCTTCATTTTGGAGAAGTAAAGTCAAGGTCTCGCCCCCCTCCCACGGTGGTCAGCTCCCCTGATGAGTAGTTAACTTGGATCTGCATCTAGTTTTAGTTACAAATATAACAAGTAAATAGGCTCCATGACCTAGTAAACATTTTAAGCCCTGCTAAATGTATTTCATAAGCTGTATTCACTAATTTTATACTGAGCTATTGTGGGATATATAGGTTCATTTATTGAAATACTCACTGTACAGTATTAAGCACTTGGGATGCAGAGTCTTTAGAGACTGCCAATCATAAGTACAAATTATGCACCATGTTAGACAGGTTTGTCAGAATCCTGTGAGGAAACCAGTTAGTATAATTGGGTAGTTTGTAGCTTTAGTGGGAATGACATTGAAAAGATGGCATTTGAGCTAACGTGAAAGTCATGTTGAATAGGAGCAGAGCTTTACAAGTAGTAATAGATGAGTAGAAAGGTGAGGTCAAAGGCAGAATTGGCTTAGGTAGAAAGAACACTTGGCTAGCATTCACACACCCATAGGTTTGGCCCCCAAGACTTGACAAAGAAATTCAAGACAAAGTTATTAGCAATAAGGGTCTTACTCTGATGACAAGAGAAGCTTTCGTGGCATCCCAAATAAAGGAGTAGGATGACCTGGCTCTTTGTAAAAGAATTGATTATTCTGGCTGTATGTTAAGGAAAGACTAGTGAGGCAAAGATGGAAGCAGAAACCAGTCAGTGTTTTAGTTATTCTAGGGATGATGGTGGTAGCTTTGCAGGTATTAACTGGGTAACTTGACTCTTTATGTGTGTGTATGCACAGAAAGCAAACATCTATAGTGTTAGATGTGGATACATAAAGAATTTACAAAGTAGATGTGGTCACTGCTATTTAGCAGCTTACATTTTAATTCAAAAGATTTTGTAAGTATTTGTTTTCAAGGTATAGTGGTCAGAAAAAGAATTTCCCCCTTAAAAATGAATTACCAGGGCTGGAGAGAGCGCTCAATTAAAGATCACTGGCTGTTCTTCCAGAGGACTCAGGTTTGATTCCATAACTCCAGTCCCAAAGGATCTGATGCCTTCTGGCACAGATGTACATGCAGCCCAAACACCCATACATAAAAAATATTTTTAAAAATGAATTACTACTAGGCGGGGCAGGGAGGGATAAAAAAATGAATTACTAGATTATAAACACAAAAATCATAATGTAAAATTATAAAAATAATAAAATTCATAATAGCTTTGTAGATTGTGTTTAATTGTACAATGTTAAATTAGTAACTTCGGAATAAATAGCATGTACTATTTCTGAGTTAAGACCTGCCTGTAATCAGTTTTTAGACATTTTAATTTCTTTTGGGAGTTAATGTTTCCTAAAAACTGTACAGTGAAAACTGCACAGAACAGTCTGACAACTATGTCACCTGCCCTTTTTGAATCCTGTTTTAGTTTGCTTTCTAAAATGTGAAGCTGAGCTGGGGTGAGGGACGGTAGCACACTCATTCCTGTAGTCCCAGCGTTGGAGATTTAAGAGAATCAGGAGATGAAGGTCATCCTCAGCCACATAGTTCCAGGCTAGCCTAGGATGCAAGAGTTCTCGTCTCAGAAAACTGGAGGTAAACAAACATTAGAACTAGGGTGTATTGCAGCAGCAGTGTGTGTAAGGCTCTGAACTCAGCCCTGGCCCCAAGAATCTTTATTATGTAAGGGCTACTTTGAGAATTAAAGGATTGTGTGTTGTATAGGTTCTAGTCAGGATTCCTGACAGATTTTGTTTTGTTTTTTTTTTCCTTTGGAGCTTGCAGAATAGAGTCATTCACAGAGGAGAAAAGATGAAAAATTGGATCTTCAGGGCAGTTTCAACAGAAATACACGGAGATGCTAAAAAACCAAAAACCAAAACAAACAACCCGGAATTCTCCCTTTCTCTGTTCATGCATTGTAGAGTCAGGCTCCTGTTCAAAACATTTGTAAGTGCTGTGCAACTCCTTAGACAATAACGCTTATCAAGGCTAAATGATAAGATCATTTTGGCAGGTATTATCTCCAGCTAATTTCTTACTTTGAGTAATGTATCTGTCCCTGGCTCTTTAGTTTCCTTTTCAATGTTGCTCTGCTTTCTCAAAGTTTTATTTTTATCTCTACCAACACACTATCTTATCTTCTCTTTCTCTCTCTCTGATCATGGGTTGGATTTCTGTACTAGTTTCAGTATTGGCTATGAAGCAGACAAGTGGAGACAGAGGTCCACAAATTCCCATTCCTCAAAACATCACTGCCATAGAAGAGAAAAGAAACAATTGAGAATGAATTCAGTGAGCCTGTTAAGATGTTAAGGTTAGCCATGGACTTGGAGAGTCATGTCTGCTCTCTGATTTTCTTAGCAAGAATGTAGGGAGTGCCATTGCCTGGAAAACAACCACAATATGAATTCGAATCTTTTTCCCAATTCCACTTTTCCTGGGAAGGAAAAAGGAAGGAAAAGCTCTTATCCTGAGAGTCACAGAGGTGTGTGTGTGTGTGTGTGTGTGTGTGTGTGTGTGTGTGTGTGTGTGTGTGTGTGTGTTCTAAAACTGCATGTGTGTGTGTGCCCCCATCCTAAAACTGCACAAGTTCTGTGTGTGTGTGTCCCCATCCTAAAACTGCACGAGTTCTATTAGGTGATCATGACTCAAACTTAACACTGGAAAGTGTTATTTCTCTTGTTTTTAGGTAAGGTCACTATTTAAATAACTTCATTCTGCTTTTCTGAACTTTGATTAAAGTCTAATAGTCAAGCCTTTCTGGGCAGTCTCAGGTAAGGATGAAAGCATACTTTGACAATAAGTGTTTAGAAGCCAGTCTAAAACCAGAGGACCAGCTTCCCCATTCACAGAGTAGTTTGGTGTTTAATTGAGGGCACTGAGCTGTGGGTGGTGCTGCTGTTTTAATTTCCAAGTATCACATGAGTAAGTGCATGTTTGCCACAAGAACAAGGCCAGTGAGCAACTCAAGGGTGCTGAATCTCACTCTCCAGCAAAAATCTCAACAACTCCTCCTGCCCTGTGAGTTACAAACAAAACATGCCTTTTCCTAACGGCTTCTCCCCCAGTGAAACAGGAAGCAATGACTATCTGCTCACATCTCTGTACTCTTCCCTTCTTGCTTTGTCATTTTATAGCCCCCCCCCCCCCGTTATCTCCTATGGTTTTCATTCCAGGAAGGGAAGTAAGGAATTGCTTTTAAAGCCCTTATATAATACTTTTATATTAGCATTAGGAGGACTGTGTCTGTATCTAGATAGGTTAGAGCCTTAAAAACTGAAGTGATAATAAAAATCTGGTCAAAACAGTCCTATGACAAAGTTCTGCTGACAGATTCTCATAGCAGTGTTGCCACAGCACTCAAGAAGGATCCACAGCAAGCATGCTTCAGAAAACCAACAAACGTAGTAAAATAGCACACACCTGTACAGCTTAATTGTTTAAAATAGAGATATATTAGCATGACCTGTATAAATTAGCGTCAAAACGGTGGTGTGAATACACCATAAAACATTGTGCATGAAGATAATGACTTGGATAGGAATCTGTCAATGCTACAAAAATAACATATAAACAAAATAATTTTCTACCTTTGATAAGTCTACAAGGCAGAAAATTAGGAATATGTACATAATTTCATAGTGGATATGTGAAAAATATACCATGCTAGAACAATCTCGTTCCAAAGTTTGAAACATAATTCTGTCAAATAAAAATATTCATACAATGTATGAATGTAGCAATAACTTTCTAGGTATAAAGTTGTTAATATGACAGATGAGAATCCTTCTGAATTGTATCTTGATTAGAATTTCGTTTCAACTGGCACCTGGAAGAAAACAAAGTTTTTGTTTTAAATGATTTGTTAAGTTCCCTTTTCAGCAATTCTTTCTTAGGATCTGGAACTTAACAGTTACTAGTATTTTTTAAATCTTTTTGAATAGTTTATTTATTTTTTGTATATGTGTGTTTTGCCTGAACATATGTACATGAATTATGTGCATGCCTGATGCCTGCAGAAGCCAGAAGAGAACTTTGGATCCTCTGGGACCTGAGTTACAGATGGTTGTGAGCTGCCATGTCAGTGTTGGGAATCGAACCCCGTTCCTCTACAAGAGCTGCCAGTGTTCTTACTGAGCCATCTCTTCAGCTTAAAAAAAAAAATCTTTAATGGCCTTCCGTTGATGCTGGATTAGTATGGATCCGTGCATTGACATGTTTACTTTGTGTAGGTTTCAACGATCTATTTGTAGCTTAAGCGTTAACAATACAATATGTTACAACTATATATGTCCTTATATTTGTTCTGAGTCATCCAAACTCCAAGGAGCCTTGGATACCAGTCAGGCATCTTGTTTTGTTTTTAAATTCTTTTTACATTTATTTATATTTATTTATTTATTTATTTATTTATTTGATGAGGAGAGAGGCATGCCGTAGTGTGCCTGTGGAGGTCAGAGGACAAGTTGAAAGAGTCATCCTGTGGGTTCTGAGAATTGAACTTAGGCCAGCAGGCTTGACAGCAAGTGCTGTTACACACAGAGCTCTCCCTCTGCCTCACATTCTGATTGTACCCCACAGCTGGTGGACTATCCACAACTGTTGTTTTATTCTCCTCTAAGCAAACCAAGGAGCTGGTGTTAAACTTTTATTTTTTTCAGTGTGGGAAGCCAAGGAATATATCATGGTGCTGGCTCCATTCTGATTTAAGTATGATTCTTAGACTTTGTCCCTTAGTACTTAGTGACAGTTCTGAAGCCAAACTGGATGTGTATGTGTCTGAATCCATGCTAGGGGGCAGGGTCATGCTTGCTCTGTTCTTT